AAAAAAAAAAAAAAAAGATTAAGCACTGGCATTAAACTCCCTTTTAACACCCAAAATATATAATAGCACAAGTATTGTGTTCCTGTTTTCTCATCTGATTTTTTATTAATACATATACATGGTTCAGAAATGTTTTAAATCAGACAAAAAAGGTATAGTTTAAGATCCTGCATCCCCTTTCAGTTCTCATTACCAATATCAAACAGAAGTCCACTGTTACTAGCTTTCTGTATATCCCTCTCCAGAGTTTCTTTATACATATAAAAGCTTTAAAAAATGCTTATTCTAAACCTTTTCTTTTAAACACAACACACACTATTCTGCAAACTGCTTTCTTTTTTTCACTTAAAAATGTTTTCTTGGAGCACCTAGCTGGCTCAGTTGATGAAGCATGCGACTCTTAATCTCGGGGTTGTGGGTTCGAGTTCCACACCGGGTATAGACATTACTTAAAATCTTTTTTTTTTTATTTTCTTAAAATTTTTTTTTTTAACATTTATTTATTTTCAAGAGACAGAGCATGAGCCGGGGAGGGGCAGAGAGAGAGAGAGGAGACACAGAATCCGAAGCAGGCTGCAGGCTCTAAGTAAGCTGTCAGCACAGAGCCTGATGCAGGGCTTGAACCCACAAACTGTAAGATCATGACCTGAGCCGAAGTCGGATGCTCAACCGACTCAGCCACCCAGGCGCCCCAACGTTACTTAAAATCTTAAAAAAGTCATCTTCATTGTTGAATGGATGTACTATACTTATTTAACAATTCTTCTATTGATGGTAGAGAGGTTTCTAAAACAACATAAATGCATAAGTACAAAGACAATGAGAAACATAAGGATGTATTTCTAATTATTTTAGTAAAGGAACATAACAGGAAAAAAAAAAATCAGGAGGAGGCAAAAAGACAAAGAATAAAGAACAAAATAGAAAGCAAACAGTAGGGGCGCCTGGGTGGCTTAGTCGATTAAGGGTCAGACTCTTGGTTTCAGCTCAGGTCATGATCTCATGGTTCAGGAGTTTGAGCCCTGCATTGGTTACATGCTTACTGCAAGGAGCCTGCTTGGGATTCTCTCTCCCTCTCTCTCTCTGCCCCTCCCCCCACCTCTCTCTCTCTCTCTCTCTCT